AGCTCCAGTGAATCTACACGCGAAAGGGGATGCAGCTTCGGGTAAGGAGGGCAATCGAAGGAGACCGAAAGCTCGTGAGGCACTTACACAACAAGAAAGCCATAGATGGATACGACGATGCCAAGTGGGGTCTTCATGAATGTCCAAACACCCGAGAGCACCTTCTTGAGGAGCGCAATGCGCTGCTGTCTCTTTGTGAGCAGATGCTCGACGTGAGAATCGAGGAGCGCTGCCGACTCATCCGCACTGTCGACGTGCTTCCGTGTCCGCGCACGTGTGACCGCGCCGCCACCCTCCAGCTGGCCTTCGACATCGTCAGCGAGTCGCTCTTCGGGGGTTGGAAGGTCGACGATAGGCTCGGAGCCAGCGAGAGAAGCAGGCACAAAGATGCTCCGCGTGATGTCGGAGAGCACGGCAACTGTGCCAACGCGGGGGTCGATGACGTCCAAGACCTCTACAGCTTCCCAGCTGTGCTCGTCCTCAAGCTCAGAGGCTCGCATGCTATTGCGAGTGGATCCTCGTGTCAAGGAAGTGGCGACGGCCTCTGGTGAGCGCTTCGCCTCTTTGGCGCTCTCTGTAGGCCTTTGCGATGCCTCTTGCCGGTGTCCACGTCGCCCGAATGGCCGTCGAGACGGGATCCTTTTGCGCGATGCGCTCTCTTCGAGCGATTCCTCATCGACATCGCCTCTACCGTCTTCTTGCGCTTCGCGTATTTCTTGCAGCTCATTACCGATTGCAGCGAACCTATTGAGTCGGCGTACCCGTCGTTCCTCGGCGCGGCGCTCTGCGATGGCCCGATGTCTGGATGCGATGCCTTCTACGATGCCATGCCTGCGGTGATCCCGATCGGGATGCTTGTTTTGGATGGCGTGATGCAGAGGCCCATGTGCATGCCCAGCTTCGCGATTCAGCAGGTCGTCAGCATGCGCTCGTCGCTGTTCCACAGCAGCGTTGGGAGCGGGCGAAGGGCTTGACGGAGAGCTGATCGTTGAACGCCGGCGCACGCGCACTGATGGTCCTCTGGGATTGGACATGTTGATATCAATGGATCGACTTGTGGCTGTTGTTGATGGTCGTAATCAAGAATGATGCCGGAGAATTCCGTCAAGTCGCAATCGTGAAGTCAATCTCCCAATCCGCCTAGCGCTCGAGATATGATGCAGGTCTGCAAGCGCGTGAGACAAAAATCGAGCGCACGGAACGATTTGTGTATCGAGTGTGATCGTGGCCTTTCTTGCACACATCCAGCGGCTGGCGAGTCGTGTGGCAGTTGACAGCGAGCGAGAGTGGAGAGTGCCCGTCTGTGAGCCGTCGCGGCTTCCCGATCGTCTCAAAGAAGTCGTCAAATCACTAATCACGAATGGTAAAGTGAAGCAAGTGTGCGGATACAGTCAAAGTCACTCACAACTAGTCACGCGTCCCGATAGAGGACAATTAACTTTTTGCATGTCCGCTGTAGCTCATCCGCCCTCGGCCGGCGCGCGGGAATTCGAGCCGGCTAGCCGACGAGGGGTCGCACAGGGGCAGGAGCAAGCACCATCCATGCATATACTGCATGCGTCCATGATGTGTACGGTACGGTACCAAACATGTCAAGATGTATATAATCGGCAAAATTAATAATCACTAATCAAGAATATCCGCGCGCTACTTGTGACTTGCGGTGCGGTGATACACCTAATCGTGAATAGGAATTAAGTGGCATTTGCGATTTTGATTGCTTCGCTCTCCACAGCGGGTACATACAGTACATGCGTCCGCTCGGCTCGCAGGACAGGTAGCGCTGAGACTTGCCGTCATGCTTGTCGGCCACTCACCCACGACCGCCATGATAGTCGCCATGTCAAAGCATACTTACGAGTATCATAGTCAGAGAGGGCGCTTAACAATCGAGAGTGATATGCAATCAACCAGGTGTTGCGATTCGAATCTTTGACTGGAACGTAGACCGCGACGTAGTTGTCAAACACGGAGACGCTCCGCTCCCACGCTCGACGCTTCATCGCGCACTCGGACCAGGTGTGGCCCAGTACGCTCACCATCGACTGCGACTCGTGGCATGGTCCGTGATCTCTCCACCGTCGGGCGCTGCCCCACAGCTACCTCGGCCAACGCCCAGACTCGCCTTTGAAGTTCATTTCAAAGGTCACATCCTTGATTTGCAGATCTGCTGATGGAAGTTGCGGGCGCTGTACCGCTAGTCAGTGAGAGCGCGCGAGTACGCAGGATCACCTTACCGGCGAGCGGCGCTAGTAGTAGTCTGCTGGCATTTGATTTTTGCATCCGAGGCTGGTGCTGGCGGCTCGGGGCGAACGAAGCAGTAGTCATGCAGAGGCAAGAGTGTTGGCTGCATGGCAGGAAGTTTGCTCAACATGCCTTCAGCTGTGTGCAGTGTAGTGGTGGTAGTAGCGGAGTGGTATGTATATGTGTACACACTAGACTCTACACACTCACCAGTAATGATTGTTACGGATAGTCAAGTCACAACATGCAGCCATCAGTCGTGAGTGCCATGCGGCGTGTCATGTCCTCTGCATACGACTTGGGCGAGGTGCAGAGGAGCGTACACGGAGCTGTCATCGCGCGGTCACCGGAGCCTCAGACCGACCGTCTGGGCGTTCCGATGGGGAGCAAGCAAGGTTCCTCACCCAGCCTCAGTCGTAGCTCGTCACCTGCGAGAGGAGCCTTCGAATATGCTCCTCCTTGCTTCTATACATCGGTGTGGCAAACTCGAGTCGTATGGACCATGTGGACTTGACCTTTTTGTCTTTCTGCAGATCGGGCGCTTTCTAAATCAAGTCGCAGCAAGCTATAAAGCATAGCATCAATCGAGACAAGAGCGACGCACGGCCGAACTGGCGCTAGATAAGATGCTTACAGCCGCGCATGCTCTGGGTCTGGCCGTGCTCAGATGTGCCCAGCACAGCAGGCACTGCAGCACTGCAGCACTACAAGCTTTCTGCACGCTCTTGGCTCGCGTGCCGCAGCGAAGCCGGCTGATGCATGAAGGGGACGCTGATGCTCGGTGTTCCAATCAAAGTCTAAGGTTTGCCATGTCCGTGCGCATTCAGGTGATTCTATCTCTACCCCGCATGGGTTTGCATGGCCCTGCACTGGCAGGCACTTAGCTCTGCCGAACTCTCATTTTAGAAGTTGGTCGTACTTGTCGAACACTGCATCTCGGACACAATTGATGGCAGCTAGGCATCACCTATCGCACAGCTGCCACGCACTCATCTTTGAAGTGCACGAAGTTCATTACTCGTGGATGAGGAGCAAAGACAGGCCTCGTAGCTCAGGTCTCCATGCCGCGAATGGCTGCCTGCCGTTCACAGCCTCGACTTACGATTGCACATCATGCAGGCCGCGATCCCGGAGCTTGAGGTTGACGCGGTACGTCGCGAGAGGCGCGTTTGACAGTGATGTCGTGGCCCCCCTCCGCCGATTCATGCGCGCTGCACGA